TCTCCCTGATGTTTGCTAATGTTAACGCTATTAGTAAGGTTTACAGTACACTCTCAGAAAAAAAGATACAAAAGCTGTCCCAGGGGTGGTACCCTTTTAAAAGGTACTAATATGTACCATTCGGGTAGTAATATGCACCTTTAATGTACTAATATGCACCCTTTAGGGTAAATATTGTACCTTTTGAAAGGGTCTCAGATCTAATAATAAATGTATTGAAATCTAAGAATAGATTCTGCTATTTTTATTGAATGGCTGGTAACTTAAAACTATAGTAGCCAAATTGACTGCAACCAGCATGATAAATGTTGCCAGGTTCATGTTCTTCTGTTTTGGATAAAACTGAAGGTGCTTTTAGTGCCACTTTGTAAGTGTCGTGAAACGTGCAAGAAGCAATGTAATATAATTTTGCAGAAAGGTCACCAAAGGCACATTTTTCCAATGAGCCTGGGTTGCGTTTTACACAACTTATGACATGATGTGTGTAAATTAAAATAATACTACTAACAATTTAAGTCAATACACTCCAAATTCTTTCTCACGTTAAATCTAGATGCTGTATATATATATATATATATATATACTGTATATATATATATATATATATATATATATACACACAGTACACATCATATTATATACATATGTGTACAGCATATTTACACCATGAGAGAAACATAATTAAACTCTTACTAAGCAAACTGAAAAGGTAAGTTTTCTCTTTCAACGATGTCTTTAATTTTTTTTTTTTTTTTACATTTATATTCGGTATTATTGGTAATCAGTTTCTCCTTTTTATTTTCTATATCAGATTTTTTTTTTAAAAATGAAAAATGTTCAGGATAAAGAAGATCGTATTCAAGCTTCATGAACTTTTGACATTGAAAGGAAGAGAACAACAACAACAGTCTCTTTTTTTCTCCAAGAAAAGGATTATCACTTATAATAATCAGTACACCAGCACACAAGGACAATGAACTCTACTGTGTTTCTCTATAGTGTACAAGAAAGATATGCAGATGCATTTGCAAAAAATTTTACCATTGTTCTTCTTGGGGTCATAATTATTTCCATCAATGGAATGTTTGTACTGACATTTTTCAGGAGTTCATTTTTCTACAACGATCCAAGATACATATTATACATTCACTTGGTTATCAATGATATGCTCATGGTTTTTTTCAGTGTAAGTCTTGTTGTGATGGCTTATACATGGCAAAATGTTCCTCTCCCGTTCTGTGTTTCACTTCTACTAATAACTGCAGCTGCTCATAAGAACACTCCTCTGACTTTGGCCGGAATGGCCGTTGAGCGTTACATTGCCATCTGCAAACCACTGCATCACCATCAGATCTGCACAGTGCGCAGGACGTACATCCTCATCTCTCTGATTTGTGGTGTTGGCGTTATACCTGGACTGGCTGACTTGATTCTCCTTTCAACTCTTCGTCCTTTATCTGTTTTTTCAACAGCTGCTTCGTGTAGTTCATCAATTCTGTATACCACGCCATACCATGAAATACAGACCAGATTTATGAATGGCCTTTACTCATCTGTTGTGTGGGTAGTTCTTTTATTCACTTATTTTCAAGTGCTGGTTACAGCCAGAAGGGCCTCCGCTGATAAATCCTCAGCAAAAAAGGCCCAAAGCACCATGCTGTTACATGGAGCACGGCTTCTGCTCTGTATGTTGTCCTACATTACTGCTGTCATAGACAAGATGTTTGTCCCACTTATACCAGTTGATCGGGCCAGACTAACCTTTTTAAATTATCTTTTAACAAACATAATACCGCGACTGCTTACCCCCCTGATTTATGGTGTTCGCGATAAACTTTTTTACAAACACATGAAGGGGCTTTTTTCATGCAGATTATTCATTGTAAAGGTTGAATCAATCAAACAATGAGGAAAAAAAGGTCAACATCATCAGATGTTTCATAAAAACGCATCACTAATGGCTATACATAAAGCATGCATAATTCTTCATGTAAGTGTACCAGATAAATGTTTTGCAATACTGATGTAAATGGTAAATTTAATCAAATGTATTGCCACATTGTTATGCCATAAATTAGCAGTGTTCTTTAGTTGTCAACAATTTGTTAAACAATTATTGTGAAAATGCAATCATTAAATGCTTTCCATGATTTAAAATGACATAATGACTCCATTAAAATGGCACATCTTGAAAATAAGGAATTGTAAGTGTTTACATTCAGACCTACAGTAAATGGTGTATTATGAGCAGATGGACCATAATTAACTGTACACGGCCCCTGCAATCTGAAACTTTCCTATACATTTGTTTTACCAAAATGTTTCAGCTAAGCTGTGTATATGATATGTTATACAAAGTAAAATTAAAATCATGCTGGTAGAGTAAATGGAATATTATCAACAGAACGAAATAATATTGCAAAATAAAGTGTAGACAAAACTCTTTTTACAAAATTGTCATGGTCACTCTCCCTTTTTCATTTGTCACAGGATACAGTATGGTTTAGGGCCAGACAGATCGCGTCATGATACTGTCGTGAACATGCATCCACAAGTGACGCAGTACAGACGAAAATGTGGAATAAAGTCGTTATTTTTGTTTTCTTTGCGCAAAAAAGTATTCTCGTAGCTTCATAACTTTACAGTTGAACCACTAATGTCACACGGACTACTTTGTCGATCATCTTGGTACTTTTCTGGACCTTGAACGTGGTAGTTACCTTGCTGTCTATGGGAGGGTCAGAGAGCCCTCAGATTTCATCAAAAATATCTTAAATTGTGTTCCGAAGATGAACGAAGGTCTTACGGGTTTGGAACAACACGAGGGTGAGTAATTAATGACAGCATTTTCATTTTTGGGTGATCTAACCCTTTAACTCATGTCAGTTTGGCACCAGTCGCAATGCATGCTGGGTACCCGGCTGTTTTTTGGCCAAAAATTACGTATTAATATTGATAATAGTGTTGTATTATGATTATTTTTAATTAAATAAATTGTACTGTTTAGTTTTATTGTACTTATTTTTAAATTCACCAAAGAGAATTTGCATTTTGCGATGAGGTCTAAAATACTTTTATGTTTAGGCCTACAAAATGTAAGTGTCTTCCATATTGTACAGCTCATATCTGCCAAATAGCCAACTTCTGCCAACACTTCCACACATGCGACATTTGATCATTTTCTCTGATTACAACCAAAGATAAATTAGTATAAACGTAAATGACTAATTAACCTCCCCAGTCTTTTGTTAATTTGTCACATGACCGAAGCAATGAATTAAGCGCCTACACATGGCCACTTGTCGCTAGTGGCATTTTCACTGTCTGTTATCATACGAAGGCACCTGTCAAGGGGTGGGATATATTAGGCAGCAAGTTAAAAGTCAGTTCTCGAATTTCATGTGTTAGAAACACAAAAGTGTGTTTGACAAGGGCCAAATAGTGATAGCTTGATGTCTGGGTAAGAGCATCTCCAAGTCTTGTGGGATGTTTCCAGTATGCAGTGGTTAGTACCTACCAAAAGTGGTGCAACGAAGAGGTGCACGTGCATTAAGGCTCATTAATGCACGTGGGGAGCGAAGGCTTGTCCATCTGGTAACATCACACAGAAGAGCTGCTGTAGCTCAGATTGCTGAAAAACTTAATGCTGTTTATGGGGCTGCATAGTTGCAGATTGATCAGAGTGTCCATGATGACCCCTGATGACCATGATGTCCCCTGTCCACCATTGATCAAATGAAGGCATCACAGGAGCCAGGAAGTGAAGCTAACGTTGGATTTGAAAGTGCCTTGATGCCTTCCTATACAGCATTATTCAGTTTTTGGACACTAATATCACCAATATCACTTTTCTTTGTGCTTTATATATATAATATATAAATATTATTACTTGCCTATAAGGCCCTTAATGGGTTAGCTCCTGCGTACCTAACTAGTCTTCTACCACGCTACAATCCATCACGCTCCCTAAGGTCGCAAAACTCTGGACTTTTGGTAGTTCCTAGGATAGCAAAGTCCACTAAAGGAGGTAGAGCTTTTTCGCATTTGGCTCACAAACTCTGGAATAGCCTTCCTGATAACGTTCGGGGTTCAGACACACTATCTCTGTTTAAATCTAGATTAAAGACACATGTCTTTGAATCCAAGCATTCAAATAATGCCTCTCATAATCTTGTACTGCAGTTATATCTGATCAAATGCACATTATTATTCTTTAGCTTGGGTTAAACAAATCAATTTTGCTTGGTTGGAACAGCAGCTACGCTAATTATGTCTCTATTTGTTTCTCTGTTTTTGCCACGGGAACTAGGATTTACACAAGCTTCAGTCTGGATCCAGAACACCTGAGAAGAGATGATGCCAACCCCTCAGAGGACCTCAGATGATGCCAACACTGAAACAGCATACAGAACTACCACATTTTGCTATAAGTTTGATTGCATCATATAATAATTGCTGTTAATAGTGTGTCTTTAATTGATTTTTCCGTACATTTCTGCCATATGTACATTAACTGACAGTCACCACTGATAAGCTACCACTAAATATTGTAGAAACCTAATTTGCTGTAAAGTTGCTTTGCAACGATTTGTATCGTGAAAAGCGCTATACAAATAAACTTGAATTGAATTGAATTGAATATACACATATACATATACACACTGTAGATTCACAGTAGATTTATCAATGTAATATTCATGGTGTTACTTGCATTTGCATTGAAAATATTCCACTGTAATGTGACCCAAGTGCAATGACCATCATATTTAAAATTCATGATCCCTGCCCTTTCCACAAACCATAAATAACACATGAGCACATAATGTAGCACTCTACTGATTAAAATTCATGTGAACTTCAGACTGCCCACATTCCAGAAATGGTTCTTCTGCTCCAAGGTAAGTCTATCTATACGACTTCTCAAAAGAAAAAAGACTGCGGTATAGTAGGTGATTTTTTTTTCTTTCTCTTCCAGATACTTGCTTGTAAAGAATTTGGAAATGAACTCGACGATCCGGATTGTGGATAGTTATGAAGAAGCTCTTGCCAAAAACATTGTGATTGTTTCTCTTGGTCTTATCATTACTTTCATTAACGGAATGCTAGTGGTGACTTTCTTCTCCAATCCAATGTTTTCAAGAGACTCCAGATACATTTTATACATTCACCTGGTAATCAATGACATGCTCATGATATGCATATCAGTGACTTTATATGTGTTGACCTATGTTTCACCACTTGTGAATGCATCATTGTGTTGTGTATTGGTTTTTCTTGGTGCAACCACCTTTATGATCACTCCATTGAATCTGGCTGGGATGGCAATAGAGCGTTTCATTGCTATCTGCAAACCACTGCATCACTCTCAGATTTGCACTCCACGAAGAACCCACATCTTTATATGTTTGCTATGGGTTATAGGGGCTATACGTTCTATAGCAGATGTCATTATTTCACTTTTAACCCAACCCATATCTTTCTTCAGATCATTTATACCTTGCTACCCAAATTATTTGTTCCCTTCCAAAAGCCACCAGGACAACACCACTGCTTCACAAGTCATCTGCATGTCATTGGTGTGGATAATTCTCATTTATACTTATTGCAGAGTCCTGTTCACCGCCAGAAAGGCTGTTTCAAAGGGTTCAGCAAATAAGGCTCGGAGTACGATATTGTTGCATGGTGTCCAGTTACTTCTTTGTATGCTTTCCTATATCACTCCTTTTATGTTTATAATTATAACTCCTTTTTTCCGTCTTCAGCAAACTAAGATCACTTTCTGTGTTTATCTGTTTACAAATATTTTGCCAAGATTACTAAGTCCTTTGATATATGGGGTCCGAGACCAGAAGTTTGTGAAACAAATGAAGGAATACTTTACTTGTAATGTTGTTATTGTAAAGATAGTACCATCATAATTGTGAATTTTATTTAGCTAAAATGTATTTAGAAATAATTTGATTTATTTGCGTTTCTTTAATTATGACATTTGTTTTGTTTGACATTTGAGAGCATCAATGAGAGCAGAAGCTCTCATGTGTATGAATGTCACTGAATTAGATAACAAAATTTCAAACCACGTGGCAAATACAGTACAAACAAATGATGAATGAACTTTACTCAGAAATAACTTTACTTTTCTGAGCCATTTTTTTAATCAGCGGGTGTTTTAGTGATTTTTTAGTGGATGTATGAAATCTGTTCACCTCAAGTTCACAAAGGTGTTGTTAATTACATTAACCATGGGAAGAACCCACAAATTGTGTCTTTATTTTGAACAACCTCTATTGCTTTATCAGTTAAAATTATAGCCAAACTAGTTTTAAAATTAACAGTTTTGGAAAGAGTTTTTTGGGATTAGATTTTCTATTATTATTTAACTTGAGAAAAGAGAAAATGAACGAGAAAAGAAACTCTCTGTGTGATGACTAAAGGTATGCACACTCTTTTGGGTAACACTTTACTTGAAGGGGTGTGCATAAGACTGACATGACACCTTCATAATCATGAAGGAGGTTTTATGCATGTTTATGACAACTGTTCATAAGTTCGCTCATTTATGTGATTTTTAATGCAAATATGACATTATTTGACCTAACCCTAACCTAACCCTACCCCTACCCTTACCCCTAACCATAGGCCATAACAAAGACATCTCAAACAATGTCATCTTTGCATTAAAAATCACATAACTGAGCGAATGACACTTAATGACAGTTGTCATAAACATGCATAAAAAACCTTCATATTCATGACGTGTCATGTCATGATTATGAAGGTGTCATGTCAGTCTTATGCACACCCCTTCAAGTAAAGTGTAACCCTCTTTTGTTTTATTTTGTCATATAAGAATAGCAACTAATTTAAAGCATAGCACAAGGTGTTGTTTTAAAATATTATTAATTACACAATGTATGCATGCATAAATCAAATGGATATTGTTTCGATCAGTAAAATATGCAACACTGTGACTTTATTAGTTGAGAAAGTTTAAAGTGACTGAGTGAGACTTCTACTTCCAGTCTAACTTACTCACTTATTTCTGTGGATTTGCAGCGCCATCTTGCGCTTTTTCTGTATAGTTTTGCTCGTGCACACCTACAGTGTGTTGAGCTCACCTGAGGAATCTCAGCGTCCGGTGACAGAAGCTTTCGAATATACAACAACAAATACATATTTGGCTTTTTAATCACTCATTATGGCCGAATGTGTACGAGAGGCCGAAAGTTACACAATAACAGAAACGAAAGTGAAACCCTTTCCTCTGAATCAGATCACTTTCTGTCCTGACAGAGGAACCAAACGCTAAACTGCGTTGAAAGGTAAATGTTACTGAAATGTCCTACTCTTTGACAGTCAATAATAGCTCATTACAGCTAATTATAAAGTTGCCATATTTATAAATTCGTCACTTGTTGTTCGCAAATGTACAGTATCCTTGAAAACTCTCAGTTCCTGCATTGTTTACACCCAGGTTTTGAACAGGTGTGTTTAAAAGACCCACCACTGCAAAACAGGACAGTGGTACTAACATGTTGGACATGCACATAGTAATAGTACAGTATTTTTAACATGTAAATACCATAGTAGCCTACATGAATGTGGAAAATAGGCTATTAGCATCTGCTGTACTGCTTTGTAAAGGACACCACTGCTATAATGATTTGTCATTCTTACAGAAAAATGTCTCAGGCTGATATTGACGAGGGGTTATATTCTCGACAGCTGTAAGTTTACTGTAAAATATTCTTATTAACTTTCCTGAGGCTATCTGCATCTTGGTTAACCTCTACCTTTTTTGTTCTTTCTTTCTCTGATATCTTTGGAAATTGCATTGCTAGCAGTCACTGCTGCACAAGAGTGTAAAGTATCTGAATAATCATATTTTAATTTTTAGTAATCATTGCTATAATGATTTGTCATTCTTACAGAAAAATGTCTCAGGCTGATATTGACGAGGGGTTATATTCTCGACAGCTGTAAGTTTACTGTAAAATATTCGTATTAACTTTCCTGAGGCTATCTGCATCTTGGTTAACCTCTACCTTTTTTGTTCTTTCTATCTCTGATATCTTTGGAAATTGCATTGCTAGCAGTCACTGCTGCACAAGAGTGTAAAGTATCTGAATCATCATATTTTAATTTTTAGTAATCATTTTTACTTTATTTACATTAAGTGCTATTGAAACTGAATGCAATCATTTCAATTGAAGATTTGTTGTACTTTTTACAATAGTTAGATGTTAAAAGTACATGTTTCACATGTTTGCAGGTTCTTCTGTTTGTTAAAACAAACAAACAAAAAGAAAAAAAGAGAAAAAAACAGAATTTGTTCACTGAAGCATGGAAGCATAGTAAACAAAATGTGACCCTGAACCACAAAACCAGTCTCAAGTCGCTGGGGTATATTTTTAGCAATAGCCAAAAAAACAAACATTGTATGGGTCAAAATGATCGATTTTTCTTTTATGCCAAAGTAAAGATCATGTTCCATGAAGATATTTTGTAAATTTTCTTACCATAAATATATCAAAACTTAATTTTTGATTAGTAGTATGCATTGCTAAGAACTTCATTTGGACAACTTTAAAGGTGATTTTCTCAGTATTTTTATTTATTTTTGCACCCTCAGATTCCATATTTTCAAATAGTTGTATCTCGGCCAAATATTGTCCTATCCTAACAAACCATACTTCAATGGAAAGCTTATTTATTCAGTTTTAAAAAATTGACCCTTATGACTGGTTTTGTGGTCCAGGGTCACAAATGTTTAAAAGCAGACATGTGATGCTTGTATTTTTGTACATGCACTTTCATTAGTTTTTCATTTTGTTGTATCAGGTTTTAATGTTAATGTAAATCATCTTTTTGAGGTTGGGTTACTTAGTTCGAGGAATTCCAGTTATGTATTTCATCAGTGCTGTATGAATAGTTATGCCCCACCTTGCCTGGTCTCTTCCTGGTATCTTTCACATAAAACCAAAGCAAAAGTGACTGGGCTTGTTTTATGCGTAGTTGAAATCATTTGTATACTATTTTGTTTATCAGAATTGGATTAGAATTAGTTTATCAAATACAATAAATGATGACTATGCTTAAAGGCACAATATGTAAGTTTTTGCCACTAGAGGGCGCATATTCAAAACAAACAAAGTAACAAAGGCGTAGTTTTCTCGGGCAGAAATCATGTTCATGGATGAGCTAATGATTTATTAACGTAGTAGAATGAAGCAGGGTGAGGCTGAAAGCCGTCGAAGCGAAACGAGGCCGCTGAACGAGCGCGACACAGCTCGAAAGCAGCGGAGCTTTTATTATGCCACAGTCGACCGCTTCCGCTCCTTCCGGTCGTGCATATGTGGGGGGAAACAAGCAGCACTGTTTTATCACACTAGATACATTTGAAAGTTCTGTTATTATGCTACTCTGTGCGGTCGTCACCTGTCTAATAAAACACATAACATATTAAAGCGTCTTTGGTGTTTCCATGTTTTCTACAAAACAAAACCGGAAATCGAGGGGTTATGACGTCATTGGCAGGCGACAAAATGGACACGGTCCGTGTCACTAGTTAAAATTGCTTATTTCTCTGGATTTAAACATTCTTCGAAACATTTGGGATAATGTAAGTACACAAGTCAGCAAAATACATAACACTGTTCTAGTGGTTTTTGGATATTTTAATAGAAAAATCTTACATATTGTGCCTTAAAGAGCATTATGATTTTTTTTTTAATTACTTGTTCCCTAATTCTCAGTAGCTTACTGTTTATTGTGAAACTATTTCATATGTTATTTAAATATGCAAAGTGCAAAGAATACATCATGGTAGCATTTGTTAAATTAAATGTATGCTTGTTTTATTTTAGATTGAAAGTTTTATTTATTCTGTCACACAAAATAGGTCTATTTAAAATGTAGCATTCACAGTTCAAATGTTTTAAATATTAAATCAGTTGGTAGAGAAATGTAACTTTTATCTCACAACAGGTACGTGATTGACCATGATGCAATGCGTCGCATGGGAAGGGCCGATGTCCTCATTGCTGGAATGCGAGGTCTTGGCATGGAGATTGCCAAAAACGTGATCCTGGTTCGATTTCGAGTTCGATCGGTCACCATTCAGGATGAGGGTGTGGTGGAGTGGAGAGATCTGTCTTCTCAGGTAATAAGTCCTATTAATGCAATTAAAAGAATAGTTCACCTAAATGAATATTCTGTCAGCATTTATTAACCACAAAAGATGATGTTTTGAAGATGCTCCAAGCTGCTGTTTTGAACGGTGATTCATACATGTGTGCATTCAGACTTGCGAGGCCAATTACAATGTGGTACATTTTAATATTTTGAATTAAATGCAACTTCAAAATAGTTTTGAGAGCTAAAATGTGGAAATAATTTACTTTCATTGCATGGAAAAAGCTGCTCCCCTTTTGTGTTCCATGAAAGAAAGCAAGTCATGCTGGTTTGGAAAGACATGACAGTTAGTAAATGATGACATAATTTTCATTTTAAGGTGGATCATCCTTTTAATTTGTAAAAATGTAAATGGTTTATTCAGGTGTCTTTTACAAACGGCTATTTATATAATCACTTATTTACATGAAATTCTCTCTGTAGTTTTACCTAAAGGAAGCTGATCTGGGTCAGAACAGGGCCTTGTGCTCTGAGAAGCAGCTCGCTGGTCTGAACGTCTACGTTCGAGTGTCTGCCTGGGCTAACAAATTCGATGAGGACTTCCTCAGCAAGTTCCAGGTGAGTACTGATTCTGGTCTCATAATGCATATGCAAAAAAGATTTTAGTTTTAACCCTTTTTTCCTGCTTTGTTATATTTAATATGTTTATCACAATAGGTGGTGGTGCTCACAAATTCACCTTTAGAGGAGCAGCTACGTGTGGGAGCATTTTGTCATTCGAACA